CCTCAGCTCGGAAGAGCTCCGGCCGTGGAACCCGTTCGAGACGCGCCGCACGCCCGTCGGTTCGCCGGAGACGGTCGGCCCCAGGTGGGCGGCTCTCGGCGGCGCACGGTCACGCGCCGCCGGGGCTAGCTCGGCGCGTGGGTCGGGCCGGCGGAGCGGTGGGAACTTCGTGAGGGCTAGCTCGGCGCGTGGGGCGGGTCGGCGGAGCGGTGTGAACTTTGTGAGGGCTAGCTCGGCGCGTGGGGCGGGTCGGCGGAGCGGTGGGAACTTCGTGAGGGCTAGCACGGCGTGTGGGGCGGGTCGGCGGAGCGGTGGAAACTTTGTGAGGGCTAGCTCGGCGCGTGGGGCGGGTCGGCGGAGCGGTGGGAACTTCGTGAGGGCTAGCTCGGCGCGTGGGGCGGTTCGGCGGAGCGGTGGGAACTTCGTGAGGGCGCAGCGTGCACTTGCAATACAGCAGCTGTGTTTTCAGGCTAGCCGCCTGTGATTGCGGTTTTAAGCCGCCCGTTTCCTGTGTTGAGCATGAAACAGCAGCCACGTTACCAAGCAGTGTGCCTTCGCCATCGCTGTGTCCGGTTGCGTTGAACTTTATGCTGAACAAATTTCAAAAGGTTCCTCCTTGTCTGTTTCCCGCACTTCAGTTAAGACTAATTTATGCACTGGCATCGTGAAGTGCGTTTGTGCATTTCAAATACTGTTCCCTTGCTTGTGCAACCCTTCAACGTTCAATGCTCTGGGTTTTCTCTGCCTGTATCTGTACAGTGGTGTATGTGTTTCAGTGAGTGGGACCAGCAGGGCGGGTTCTTCACGCCGGGAATCCGGGGAAGCACAGGAAATATGCAGGTAACTCGACGTATGTCACACGAAATATTAAGCTATGATGGTATAATCTGATCGGGTTGAGTCGTGCTCTATGAGCTTGCAGTACTCTTGTATGTCTTGATGGCATGAAATCGCCGTGTCAGAGTTTCGCATCGTGTTTTTACTTCCCATACGACGCCCAGCGGCGTCCTCCGGCGACATCGGCCGGATGCGTGTGCGCGTAACTAACCGCTCCGCTGGCGGTGCCGCGTGGGCGACTGCCGGATTGGTAAATTCCTGCACCACTGGTGCGGTGCGAGCAGAGACGCCGGCGCCTGTCACGTGACTGGCATCAGACCACCGAGCTCTGGTGACCCGGCGGCCGTTCACAGGCCCGGCGAGTGCGCGGCGCGATTCCGGAGGCTCCCCGCCGCCTCAAGTCCTCCAGCGTGACTCAGATGGCGGCCGACACCATCTCCCCAGTAAGTGACGGAGAGCGCCTCCCTGGCAGTTGGACGGCGTGCAGCACACGGAGTCGCACTAGCAGGCAGGATGCTATCACGTCTGCTCCAAGTTTAGCCGATAGAGCAGTGTTTGTCATCACCGTCGATCAGCGTCCATCGCTTCAGCGGCACCAGCCGGCGGCGCTGGTGGGGGTGTCGTGCCGTTCCCTCTCACGCCCGCCGGGTTTGTTGCAGAGACACAAGTCGAACTGGGACGCGCCCGTGGAGCCGACCGAGTCGGTGCCGGCGACGAGCTCGTCGAGCGGCCGGCGTCGCGGCTCTCTGCACGGCCCGGTGCGGCCCACCGACGAGCGTCGCCACCAGCGACACCCGGCCCTCAGGAACGTGCCCAACAGTAAGCACGGAGCCGGCGGGACGCGGCGCCCAGGCGCACTGTGATGGCGTGACGCCAGGAAGCAGTCGCTGCTGACTGGACCGGCGGGGCCTCAGTCGAGGTGGCAGCGTTGTTTAAGCCAGCTGTACTTGTCCACTTGCACACTTGGTCCTTCCAAGGATTGTGACTAAGGCGGCTTCTACGTATTAGGGCGACGTTTGCGTGGTTCGTTGCGTGTTTGTGCCAAAATGCACTAAGGTGAGATAAGCAAAGTAATCTTGTTTAAATGATATCAACATAGCACAAAAACACTACAATAATCTGGGCCACATTTGAGCTGAGTCATTATTAAGGCAGTGAGGAAACCAAGACGGTATGTTCTATCTACAGCGCATGTCTTGAATAGCAATTTGTGGCGTGTTGTATAGTCCCTAGCAGACCTGCGGTTAGACTAATGATCTTCAGCGCAACTTGCATAGAGCAGCCAGCGGGGCTGACGTGACGTGTCCGAGTCGGCGGCCCGCTGTCGGTGTCGTGCTGACCGGCCGCCCCGTGCGCCGCAGCCTCCAGCTCGCTCATCATCCAGCACTCGTCGCTGTCGGCCGTCCAGGAGGAGAGCGACGGCGCGGCCGGCGCGCGGCCCGGCGCGCCCATCGTGCCGCCCGCCTCTGCCCGGCGCGCCTCCAACCGTCAGTGCACCGAGCCGGCGCGCCCACACGGCCACTGTGACGGATTGGCCTCTGGTGATGGGGTGGCCTCTGGTGATTGGCCTCTGCTGATGGGGTGGCCTCTGGTGGTTGGCCTCTGGTGATGGGGTGCCGTGGTGTCGGTGAACCGCCGGCTGCGGCCCGGATTGGGCCCCGGGTGTGGCGGTTCGCGGGAGTGCCGCGGCCGCGCTGTACAATCACGTCAGCTCACTGTCGAAGGGGGAGCTAATGTGATATGCGGCGGGAGGGGAGCTGCTTTCCAACATCTGCAAGAGTCGATGCGCTGGACCTACAGGGACACTCGGCATCTGGCCCCGCGTTGTTTTCTGTTCGTGTAGCATCCTGTGTTTAATCCAACGTTCTTGTGTCTAGAATGGGACAAAGTGCCAGCGCCAACGCATTAATTTGTGCCCCCTGTCGCGTGATTTCCGCCCCTACCACGTCTGTTGTGCACCATGCCGCGTGTTTTGGGCTCCCTGCCGTATGTGTGGTGTTGTGTCCCTCTGTCGTGTTTTGGGCTTCTTACCGGGTGTTTTGTGTTCCCTGTCGCGTGTTTTGTCCTCGCTGTCGCATGCTTTATGCTCCCTGCTGCGTGTGTTGTACTCCCTGTCGTGTGTTTTATGCTCCCCGCCGTGTGTTTTGCTTTCCCTGCCCCGTCTCAGGTATTGTCTGCGGCCGCCAGCCTCACCAGACTGTGCTTGCCGTCACCGCCGCGCACCTGCCCGGCAGGCTCGTCGTCATCGCTATCGTCGTCGGACTTGGACGCGGACGACGAGGAGGCGGTGGAGCCGGCGCTGCGGCGGCGGCCGGTGCCGGCGCGGCGGCGGGCCTCCATCCGGCGGCCGTCGGAACGACCCAGCGCCAGCGCCTCCAGCGGCCGTCAGCAGCAGGAGGACGGGGATGAGGAGGAGGAGTCCAGCTGGCGCGTGCCCAGTGCCGTGTATGACCTGCTGGGCGAACGGGAGGTGGGCGACAGCAGCAGCGACGACACCAGTGAGCCTACCGACCAGCTGCTCATGAGCATATTCGGCGAGCGCATGTGACTGACATGGGGTGCGGGTGCGGTGCGGACCGGGCTCGCGGTCTGGCGGCGCCAGCTGGGAGCACTACCGGCTGGTGGCTACTCAACGCTCGGGTAACAACGGTCTAGTGTTGCACATATCCAACGGTTTGTCCAGTATTTGCCTTGAACAGCTGAATTCGGTGCATGCGCATGTCCGAGTGACTGCAAGTCAGGAGGCTGTCTTCCGCGGCTCAAGACGGGTCAGAGCCTATCCATTGGATTTGGAGGGGCCGCAAATTATGTCGTCTTCTGCGTCCTGCTTTGCGTCGGATGTGTTTGTACGCCGTTGTATCTCCTAGTGATCTCGTTTTGTCATGTCTAGTCACGTTTCTAGTTTGGATATATTCCCAATAAACGATAAGGGTCCTGATTTGGAATGCTGTTTACCAACGCTCGCAACCTTGATGAAAAGGACGGGATGGTGATGTGTCAAGCGCGAGTTCTACAGTTTGTCCAGTGTTTCCTTCATTAAAGTTGATCATTTGCGTGAATCTGGAGCAATCTTTGCTCCGGGTGGTGGTCTCACGCACTAAAATTGGGTGCCTTGCTTTTGCCTTGCGCTTGGTTAGTTTTATTACAACGCTTTAAGCGTCACTTTTTGTGACACATCGCCCGCAATACTCGTCAACAGGGTCGATTTGTGCGCTTCTGATGGATGCTGTTGGCGGTGTTCGTAAATTTACCTTTAAAGTATCTGTCTCCTAATAAATCCACGTGGCCGCTACACGCGGCTGACATCTCGCATTGCGCTGTCGTTACGTGATTGTTCTTAGCCTTTGGAAAGGCTCCGCCATGTGTCAAAAATACGTGGATCAATGCTTTTGCAGGTGCTCCTTGCTGGCAAATACCTAGTGTTGGTACAGAAACCTGGTATATATATATATATATATATATATATATATATATATATATATATATATATATATATATGTGTGTGTGTGTGTGTGTGTGTGCAAATGCCAACGCCAATATCAGGTTTCGAAGGGAATGGGGCCTTACCCGCCAACCCTTTTTGACGGCGTTCGTGGCCATTGGCCCGACTTCCTGTGACTGCTTGCCCTTGTTGCTTGCTACGCTGTGTTAAGCCCATGACACTCGGAACGCATCCAGTGATCCGCAGCGGGTGGGAAAGGTCAGGGACTTGTTGGGTCTATCAATTTGCATGCTCCCTGGTTCTAGTGGCGAGTTGTCCCGAAAGAGCCCCCAAACCATTTAATACTGCTTCTACAGACGGAAAAACCATGGTCCATGATTGGCAGTATCACGTAGCATACATTTTACAAAATTATTACAAACGTTTTTCATGGATGGATTGTTGGAATCAGAGTTCACGCTGAGCGGTGCTTGCTGGATGAGCCCTGACCACTATCATCTGACCGACGCGACCGAGATCACATGAAATCTTTCTTTAATGTAAATTAGTATGGTGGCAAATCCGAAATGAATGTCATTCGCAAGAATAGCTTCTGACGGAAAACCACACCAAAATCGCAGCCATCGCGGGACAGCTCTAGATACAAAGCCACGAATAATATGTTTGTAGTGTCATGTTTTAGGCTGTTTTAGACAACTACGCCCTTCTTGCGACGTGGCCTGGTTTATGGGCGTTGTTGCGCACATGCCGATGGCATGTCTATATCGGCATAACCAGGGGGCATAACAGTCAACACTACTTCGTCACGAGGCCGAAGGCTGGAGGGGAGGTGAGTTTCTGTATCCTGCCTTGAAAACCTTCGCGCATGGTTGTGTATCGGTTTAGCCTGTCGTGGGCTTCACACTAAACTGCGTCGCGTGTATGGCTAATTCTGTGCATACCATTAGTGATTCGATTGTAAGTCCTAGCGGTTCTTAGTAATAGGTTGGTTTAATAGATCATAACCACATTGAGTTGGATGAACATTTTGTGCGATTTTTTATGTAAGAAATGTAAATCAAAAGTATGTTTGAATTCCTCTATTGTACTCAGCATTGTAACCTGTGACTGGCATAACGTGAAATTTGATGGTAAGCGTGGGTCAACAGTTGGCAGTTGTCCATTAGTTTTCTACACAATTGGGTTCATTTTACCGCAACTACCCATTAAGTGTGTTCCAGTTATCTGTGACTTATTTGTGTGGGTTTTTGAACAACACATGTTATCATGAATATCATTAGGTGTGGTATATAGCTGTGTTTCTTAAGACCTGAACCTTGTTAGATTCTTAGCTACAAGCCTGTGAGGTTGTGCAGACTGTTTAAGGAAGATTATTTCAAGGTCACCTACACATTCATGATGCCAAAATAACTGTATTCAAATTATGCTATTCCATTGGTCATGATCAAGTGTAAGGCCAAGAAAACAAAAACGGAATTGTTACGAATGTCATATCTGGAATACATGAAAATTATTTCCAGGTATAAAAGCCATTAGTCAGCTCTTAATATCAATGTTGTGCCAGATATGATGGTATAACCAATGACATGTTGAACATATTTACTCAACAGGGAACTATGTTTTCTAGAGCAGCCTTTCCAATTTAAAAGCATATCAGTAGTTTGAAGGGAGCTGATTTTATCATATCTGATGCATGCTTTAATATCTTCCAATATGGGATGTTTTCTTCAACCTGTAGGAAATAGAACCATCTGGTGTAGCAGCTGTAGCAGACATCACAACAATAATTTCAACACATGCATGCTGTAAATCTGAGTGCTTGGACCTTGGCTCATGGATGGCACTGAATTAGCTTAAAGGATTATTATTTTGCAAAACTCAGTTCTAGGAAAAATACTCCCCTGAAAAAATCAATAAAGATTCATTCAGATATTTGGTGTATTCCGACCCGACTTGAGTGTGACATGTGCATGTGCTGGGCCTGGTGCAGTAAATGAATTGTTTTGCTGTGTGGGCATGAGCCACTCCCCCCTGTGGCTTCTCTGTCCCAGCATTTTCTCAGTATGATTTACAGCTACACAAGCAAATATGGTGTGTTCCAAAATCAGCTCCTTCTCTGGTATGCTTCTGTTACACTCCATGAAAACCTCCTGTCGGCTTTCCACGTGCAGCATAATGCATGGATGGCCCCAGCTTGTATCTACCTGAGCACAGTAAATAATTTTTCATATTTGAATTCATTCCTGATATTCATGAGTGAATGATGCCCTGACTTCATGAATATCCCACTTTAAAAATTGAATGAAATGTTCACATTTGGTAACAGCTGTATGCTATAAAGCCAACTTGGCACATTGACACTGCAGCCAAATATTGGTATTGTGTGCCTCACATCAGTACACAATATCCAGATCAGTGTTTCTTTTACCACTGTTTCATAACTAGGACCAGTGCATCTGATCCCACCATGTCTTATAGAGATGCCTCCCAGAAAGAAAGCCAAGACTCGGGCTGCAACCCCCTCTGAAGACCTTGAACCAAAGCCAATGCTACCAATGGAGGTAGACCACAACAGCGGCCTGCTCCAGCTGCCAGAGACGTTTGACGAGTCCGTAGACCTGCTGGTGGATCGCGTGCGGAAGGCCGTGTTCGAAAACGTCACCATGTTCAAGATCGAGGTGGCAAGCATCGCGGCTGGTATGAAGGCGGCCGACGTGATCGCCGACCTCTCGGCCAAGGCGCACCAGGACATCTGCGAGATCGTGCCGCTGTGCCAGGTGCGTCTCAACGACCTGCCGGCCAACGGCTGCTCGATGCTGTTCGACCAAGCGCCAGTACGCCGAGGCGCTCGTGCATGCGGTGCGCGCCCACTTCGCGTTCGTGGCGTTCGACCGGCGACTGATTTACACGAGCACGGCCGGCCCCGGCGACCGGGGCGCGCCGCGCCTGCTCTACCTGTTCACGTACCTGCGCACGGCGGCTGATCGCGCCGAGCCCACGGCCACGAGCGCCGCCGCCGCCCGGCTGGGAGTGCGGTGAGTGCCACGACCCGTCAGGAATGACCTGTTGGCTTGGGCCACCTTGCGGCCAGCTAATGTTAGGCTTTGTTGGGCAGTCTTGGGCTTTTGTCCCGAGCCCTGGGATGGATTGCGTGAGTTGCGATGGGTGTGTGAGTAAAGTGACAAGTGACACGTTCATCGTTTGAAGGGTACTGGAAGCTACCACATTGCATGTGGTGTGATGCCTTTAGAATCCAATGGTATACTGAATCACACACAGGCTGCAGTCTTTATTGAGAAGAGAAGAATTGTGGAAATAATGTCACATTAAAAGAAATGTAAATTTCGAGAGAGTACTGAGATACCGAGGCTGACAGACATCAACACATTGACAGAAAATAAATGAACTATTGATTTGACGGGGCATGTCCCTTGAAGCAGGTTATACATCCATTATTATCCAAGTGACATACCAGCTTCGTGGTCTCGTGTAAGGCTCGGAAAAGGCAGTCAGTTGATTCCATTTTATGGGCTATGTCTTCATTGTATCGCTGTTGGGGTGGTGTTTTAGAGCTGCACATTATTTTCAGCGAGGCAAATAACCGGCGCAGGACAGTGGCTATGCCTTCATCGGTGTTCATCGAAAAGGAGCTGGAGCAGTTCAGAGAAGAACTGTAAGTTAAGCAGTGTGTGAACGACGCTCATTGTTCGTAACGAGTGTATCGGGTAAGAATGCGATACACGTGTGTTGCTATTTTCAGAGTGCTTTCAAGGAGCCCTAAAGAAAATTGCGTGGTGTCATGCATGTGTAATTGCGTCATGTTTGTGATATGCGGAACTTTAAAAATAGCGAATCCAACGGTGTTACGGTTGCTTGGGTGGCCAGTCGTTTTTCCTTATCGAGTCCAGTGCGAGCCACTGGTCCAAACTGTGCGGGTCCGCTGACGGACTGCTGTCTCGGTGCGGCGCAGGGACCGCGCCGAGCAGGAGCTGATGGACGCCTCGCAGTCGATGGAGGACGACTACCGGCTGCCGGAGCCGAGCCCACCGATCGTGTCGCTCAGCGTGCCCCGCCGGTCCTTGGGCCCCGCCCTGCCCGCCGTGCTGCCGACCGCCACGCTCCGAGGCGGCCGTGTCCCCGGCCGGCGCAAGCGGCCGTCCTCGCCCGACCCGGCGTCGGCCGCCGCCGGCACTGACACGCTGCCGCCGCCGTGAGTCCGCCGCCGCCGCTGCCGTCGGGACAGCGAGCGGCGAGGCTGCCGGCACGCCCCGAGCGCGCGGCCAGCCCCGCTGGAACGGGCTAGCAACGGCGCAGTAACGACCGACGCCACTATACAGGCCACTCATGTGTACGCTAGTGTGGGGCCTGTTCGGGAGAATTCCAGCCGCCCGCCCGTGCGATGGTGATTGTTTGCATCAGCCGCCGGCCGGCGTCCGTGCCATGTGCCTCTGCTGCCGCCCATGAGGTTTCCTCCCGAACCGTGCGAATTATCCCACGTGTGATCATTGCACGCCCACTGCTGACGTTCGATGGCCACCGGCTCGGGCCAGGCTCTGCTCGTGGCCGCTTGACGCCGGGAGCAGAGGCCAACCTCGTGCGGGAATGAAGCGGACCAACGGAGTCGGACGGGCGTTACCCTGTCCCGTCACTCGCCGCCTCCGCCGCGTCACGGCCATGCCCTGACAAACTGGTGCGTACGTTGCAGCTTGCCACCGGCGGTCACCCCCTCCAAGGCGAAGTCGGCCAGGCCTGCGGCGACCCCGCAGAAGGTCAACACGGTGCCGCCGATCGTGGCGCCGTCCAATGCCAGGTCGCCCTCGAAGACGGGTCCGCTGCCGGCGCGTGAGGCCGACCAGCTGGCGACGTTCTTCGCGCGGCTGAGCGGCGCCCAGTCGGAGCAGAGCCGCGTCTCGCTCACGTGCCGCTACGCCAAGCTGCGCTACGGCCACGACGTGTCGTCAGGCGCCGTGTATCGGCTGGCGGAGAGCCTGCCGGGCCCGGCGCCGCCGCCGCCGCCGCCGCTCTCGGAGAACGAGCGACGCGAGACGGCGCTGGCCGTGTACCACGAGCTGGACCCGAACCAGAGCGAGCAGTCGCGTGTGGCCTACACGCTGCAGTACATGCGCGTGCAGCACTCGGCGCGGATCGGCGCCAACGCGCTGTTCGGCTGGCTCGGTCAGGGAGCGAAGAAGGTGAAGGCCAAGCCCAAGACGCAGTAGGCGGTCCACGGCCCGGCGGACGGTCCGGAGAGTGGTGATAGTGGTGGTGACTGGTGCTGATTAAAGCGGAAGGAGAGGGAGGCGTTATGTAATTTGAGTACGTTTTATATATCTGGTTCTGGCTGAAAGCTTTCGCTTGGCTTCAGTGGTTAGACGTGGTGAAGCGAGCGCCAGGTCGCATGTTGGGTGCCTGGTATCGGGTGGGCCCGCCGAGGTGGAGGATGTTTCTGGAAGCGGAGCCGGCGAACGTGTTTTATGAGTATGTTCCATGGCGAATTCGGGACACCTGGGCTAGCCATTTCCAACTTGAACACCGACAATATTCTTGTTGCAGTTAGTTGGCCGTTGCTGTGGAACCCTAAAAGCACCACTTCACGTTCGTTCCGTGAGTGCGTTGTGTGGGAACTACGTTTCGGGTTTGTACCGACATGCCTCCGACTGTCTGCTGTCACTCGCTGGTGGTCTGAACCGTGCAGCGCCTCGGGCTCGGGCGGCTTGCGACACACCGTTCTGGCCGCTTCTGCTTCTCGGGGGCGTGCTCACGTGATTAACGGGTCTCTGCTGAAGTCTCGGGACTGAGTATTGGTCCTCATACAAAGCTGTTTGAGTGCGCTCGACTGAGATTGTTTCATGCAGTGAGACGCTGCGAATTGTGCCGTAGTGGCCTTAGGCTTGTATAGGCTAGGTCCAGTCGTGGAACCTGCTTTTGTCGTGGCGGCCAATGCCACGGACCTTTTAACTCACAGTACTCTACCATATGGGAGCTGCAAGATGCTGTCGCTTTGTTGCGTATGCTGGAACGACGGGAGCGGGGAGAGGGGTCGGAGGGAATGCGCCCTGTCTGGAGCATTGCCATGTTAGTGTTTTAGCGTTGTATGGAGAGAAACGAGGCAAAGTCGCGCTTTACACTCCCTTCTTTGCTTCCCGTTGACAAACAATGTCCCTGGTGTGTGTGCTTATTAATACATCTAGTTGGAGGTGATAGATGGAGAGGTGAATGCTGTATGAAAGTGATCCACTTCAGTGCCTTCTCTGGTCCACAAACGCAGATATCGTCGGGAGTCACCGCCGTCCAATGTCAGACGGCGAATGCAAATACTTGAATGGTTTGCTCCCACATGAACGAGGGAACAAGACGCAGTGCACAAAACAGGTTCAGTTGTGGGTAAAGCCCGCCCGAAATGGAAGAAGTCCACTTGTTGAGGTATTGGGTGGCTAGTATCGCTATCCTTCAATGCTTGGTCTGCTACCTCACCATCTCTTGCGAATCTTTACCCTCGCCGAGCCGGAGATGACACCACATGAAGCAAAAGTGCAACAGTGTGGTAAAATGTATCTGTGGTACGCGGCGTTGGTCCAGTTCCAAACACCAGGGGAATGAAGGGATCTGGAAGCAGTGTGGCCTAAATATGGAATCTAAATCTAGTTTCAAACACGGCGCAAAATTCACGATTAAGTTAACGTTGCTTACACACGTTATGTTACATCCCGTATGCTGGAAGGGTGGGTGCTGAGGAGTCTGCGTTTCATGATCGGTCATTTTACTGATTCAACCGATCAGAACGTCTACGCGCGCCGATCGCTCCTCGTCTATAGCCGTTGGGTTTTAAATGTTTTACATGTTCCGAACGTGGGGTACGTAGCCTTGGAAAAGTAGAGAAACACTCAGGTAATATATTGCTCTGGTGTTCATAGGGGTCACCACGTGGACGGCAGGTCTACCCTTTCCCCTGCTTTGTGCTTGGCAGTATAAGCTGGTTTTCAACATAGCCTTTTGTGTGGTCTCCAGCCAGAAGTAGCTTCCCCCTCAGACATGACAAGGTCTATCAAGGGGGAAAGAAGCCTGTTATTGACTCAGTGTGTTCAATTGAGTTATCCGTGCCAGAACATTAGTGAGGCCTCAGAAGCGGAAGAGGCATGATGAAGTGTTTTCCATATATTTATGTATTCTTGTAGCAGTCAGGGTGTACTTTCCGGTAATTTTTTACTTGGGTACCTGTATGGCCGACGGAGGGAAGAGCTACGCTAGCTGCAGGGTTTCGAGTATTGTCGTGCGGGGCAAAAGCTGTGAGGCATCAGCTAACATTGTGACGTCACTGAAAGTGGTTTTGCATCGATCGGGATCGGGGTTCTCTCGGGCCGACTGAAGGCCATAAGGCTTTTGCTTGTGATATGGTGTCACTGGTATTCGGCTGGGTATGTGACGTCACTGGTCGTGAGTGTATAAGGCTCTTTTGGGTCCACTGAATGCCGTAATGCATCAGCTGGCCATGTGTCGTCACTGGTATTCGATTGAACATCAGGCGCGGCCGGCCTCGTTCCATCTTTACTTTTCGTACCTGTCTGCCGCAAGCATTTGCGTGCCGCATAAAGGTTTGACCGAATTACCCCAATGTGTGACGTCCCTAATCATCACTTCATACAAGTGCACTTAGGCCTCACGACCACGGTGTGTCGTGGTCCGCGAAGTATCACCGGATAGCGTGACGTCACTGGTATTCGAATAAAAACTGGGCGCAACAGGTTGTGCTTCATTTTTACCTTTGTACTTGTCTACTGCAAGCATTGGCGTGCTGGATGAAAGCTGCCGAACCACCTGAGTGTGTGACATCACTGGCCATGAGTTCCAACGGTGCTTTTCGGCCAACTGAAGACCACAAGGTGTCAGCTAACGACGTCACTGCTATACGACTGTAAGACGTCAATGGCCGTGGGTTTCCACGGGCCCTATAGGACCGACGAAATGCCGTTAGGCATCAGCTGGCGATATGACGTCACTGGTATTTGGCTGAACATCAGGCAACAGGCCATGCTCCATTTATACCTTTCGTACATGTCTGCTGCAAGTATTGGCGGATTTTTTGTGCGGCCAACTGAAGACCATAAAGCATCAGCTAACGATGTGACGTCGCTGGCACTCGACTGTGCGTGTCGCTGGTCATGAGGTTTTACGGCCTCTTTTGGGGGGACGAAAGGTCATACGGCAATGACTGAAGATGTGACGTCACTGGTATTCGAATGAACTTCGGGCGCGACAGACCATGTTCCACCTTTATCTTTGGTACCTGTCCATTGCAAGCATTGCCGTGGAAGGCTCTGCCAAATTACCTAAGTGTGTACGTCACTGACCATTAATTTGCACACTCTTTTGAGCCTACTATAGGCCACAAGGCATCAGCTGACGATATGATGTCACTGGGTTTCGACTAGACATCATGCGCAACAGGCCATGCTCCATCTAAGCCATGTTTCGTCTGTACCTTTCGCACCTATCTACTGCAAGTATTCGCGCGACACAGGGGCTCTGCCGAATTACCTGAGCGTGTGGTGTAACTAGTTATGAGTTAACGCGGGTTTACTCTGGCTGACTGAAGGACATCAAGCATCAGCTGACGATATGACGTCACTGGTATTCGACTAAACTTCAGGCGCGACAGGCCATGTTCCATCTTTACCTTTCGTACCTGTCTCTTGGAAGTATGGGCGTGCTGAATGAAGGCTCTGTCGAGTCTCCTGAGTAAGTAACGTCACTGGTCAAGAGCTTTTTACGGGACCTTTTGTACCCCCAAACGGTATAATGCATCAGCTGATGATATGACGTCACTGGTGTCCGACTTAACATCAGGCGCGACAGGCCATGTTCTATCTTTACCTTTCGTACCCGTCTATTACAAGTATTGACGTGCTGAATGAAGGCTCTGTCGAGTCTCCTGGGTGTGTAACGTTACTGGTCATGAGTTTTTTCTGGCTCCTTGGAACCCTCTATAGGGAAAAATGCATCAGTTGACGACATGATGTCAATGGTGTTCGACTTAACATGAGGCGTAACAGGTCATGTTCCATCTTTGCCTTTCGTACCTGTAAAGTATTGGTGCGTTAAATGATGGCTCTGCCGAGTCACCTGAGTGTGCGACGTCACTGGTCATGAATTTTTACCGACTATTTTTGGCTGAGCGAAAGCCATAAGGCATCAGCTAACGAAATGACGTCACTGGTAATCCACTGAGTGTGTGACGTCACTGGTCATGAGCTTTTACGGGCCCTTTTTGGCCGAGTTCAGGTCATTAGGCATCAGATAACGTTATGGCGTCACTTGTATTCGAATTAACATCAGTTGCAATAAGCCATGTTTCATCTTTACCTTTCGCACCTGCCTACTGCAAGTATTCGTGCGCTACAAAAAGGCTCTGTCGATTCGCCTGAGCGTGTGGTGTAACTGGCCATGAGTTTGTGCAGGTTTACTCGGGCTGACTGACGGACATCAAGCATCAGCTGACGATATGACGTCACTGGTAATCGACTAAACTCCAGACGAATCATCTGAGTGGGTGACGTCGCTGGTCATGAGTTCATACGGATTCACTTGGACCGCCCAAGGCTACAAAGCAACACCTCCCGTGAAGCATCACAGGATGATATGTCGTCACTGTTATTCGACGTAACATCAGGTCCAACATGCCACGTACTTTCTTTACCTTTTGTACTTGTTTATTAAAGGTATTGACGTGCTGAATGAAGGCTCCGTCGAATCTCCTGAGTGTGTGACGTCACTGGTCACGAGTTTTTTACGGGCTCCTTTGAACCCATTTTAGGTTATAATTCATCAGCTGACGACATGACGTTACTGGTGCTCGACTAAACATCAGGCGCAACAGGTCATGCTCCATATTTGCCTTTCGTACCTGGCTGCTACAAATATTCGCGTGCTATATGAAGGCTCCGCCGAATCATCTGAGTATGTGACGTCACTGATCATCAGTTGGTAGGAGGTCACTTGGCCACCTACGGCTACGGAGTTCCGCAGCAGAGGTGGGAGATGCACCATAGTTAAGCACACTAATTTTATTGTGCGCACCATTAAGTAACAACTTCAAACGCAACGGGCTGTTTCAACGACTAAAATTTTGAACAAACGTAAACACAAAACAAAGGTGATCCCAGCCCACAAACCGACGTATATGCAAAGCTATTCCGCCCGACATCACAGGATGCGCCCCTGAGCAGCTACGGTCCGGAATGCCCTGATGGCTAAATAATAATCAAGGGCGCCGCCTAGCGGCCATAAGTCTGGGCCACAGCCCGAATATCAGTGACGTCATATGGTCAGGTGATGCTTGATGTCCTTCAGTCAGCCCGAGTAAGCCCGCGTAAACTCATGACCAGTTACACCACATGCTCAGGTGATTCGGCAGAGCCTTTATGTAGCGCGCGAATACTTGCAGTATAGAGGTGCGAAAGGCAAAGATGGAACATGACCTGTTGCGCCTGAGATTAAGTCAAATACCAGTGATGTCATATCGTCAACTGATGTCTTGTACCCTATAGGTACAAAAAAGCAGCCCGTAAAGAACTCATGACCAGTGACATTACACACTCAGGAGATTTCACAGAGCTTTCCTTAAGCATGTCAATGCTTACGATAGACAGGTACGAAAGGTAAAGACGAACATGGCCTGTCGCGCCTGGTGTTAAGTTGAATACCAGTGACGTCACATCGCCAGATGATGCTTGATGTCCTTCAGTCAGCCCGGGTAAACCCGCGTAAACTCATAACCAGTCACACCACACGCTCAGGTGATTGGGCAGAGCCTTTATGTGGCGCGCGAATACTTGCAGTAGATAGGTGCGGAAGGTAAAAATGAAACATGACATATTGTATCTGATGCTTAATTGAATACCAGTGACGTCATATCGTTACCTGATGCCTAATGGCCTTAAGTCGGCCCAAAAAGGCGCGGGAAAACTCATGACCAATGGCGTCACACACTTGGTGGATTACCAGTGACGACATATCGTTAGATGATGCCTAATGGCTTTCCCGGCCAACAATAGCCTGTAAAAACTCATGATGACGCACTCAGGTGATTCGGCAGAGCCATCATTAGGCTCGCCAATACTTTAACAGGTGCGAAAGGCAAAGATGGAACATGACATGTTGTGCCTGATGCTAAGTCGAACACCAGTGACATCATATCGTCAACTGAAGCATTATACCATATAGGGGGTTGAAAAGAGCCCGTAAGAACTCTTAACCAATGACGTGATATAACACGCGAATGCTTGCAGTAGACAGGTATGAAAGGTAAAGATGGAACATGGCCTGTTGAGCCTGATGTTGAGTCGAATACCAGTGACGTCATATCATGCCGCGATGCTTTACAGGATATGATGCTTTGTTGCATTGGGCTGCCCAAGTGAACCTGTATAAACTCATGACCAGTGACGTCACGCACTCAGATGGTTCAGCATCACCTTGATATAGCACGCGAATGCTTGCAGTAAACAGGTACGAAAGGCAAAGATAGAGCATGGCCTGTTGCGCATGACACCTAGACGAAAACCGGTGACGTCATATGGTCAGCTGATGTGGTATGGCTTACAGTGGGTTCAAAACCGTCTATACAAATTAATGGTTAGTGACGTTACACACTCAGGTAATTCGGCAGACCCTTCCTTCAGCATTCAAATACTTGCAATGGACAGGTACCAAAGGTAAAGATGGAGCATGGCCATGGCCGCCTGAATTGTATTCGGATACCAGTGACGGCACATCTTCAGTTAATGTAGTATGACCTTTCGTCGGCCCAAAAGAGGCCGTAAAATCTGATCACAAGTGACATCACACACAGTCGAATGCCAGTGACGTCACATCATTAGGCTATGCTTTACGGCCCTCAGTTGGCCCCCAAAGATCCATAAAAATGCATGACCAGTGACGTCACACACTCACGTGATTTGGTAGCTTTTATTCATCACGCCAGTGCTTTCAGTAGACAGGTACGAAGCTAAAAATGAACCTTGACCTGTTGCGACCAATATTTAGTCGAATATCACTGACGTCACGATACCCAGTGATATTTCACGGAACATGATACACCGCGGCCGTGGGGCCTAAGTGCACTCGTATCAACTGGTGATTGGTGACGTCACACATTCAGGTGATTCGGTCAAGCTTTTATTCGGCACGCAAATGCTTGCAGCAGACAGGTACGAAAGGTAAAGATGGAATAAGGCCCGTTGCGCCTGATGTTTCATTGAATACCAGCGACGACATATCGTCAGGTGATGCTTTACGGCATTCATTGCACCCAAAAGAGCCCTAAAGCCTCACAACCAGTGACGTCACATATCCAGTCGAATACCAGTGACATCATATCGCTAGCAAATGCCTTGTAGCCTTCAGTCGGCCCAAAAGAACCCAGATCGATGCAAACCCATTTTCAGTGACGTCACTACGTCGGCTGATACCTAACAGCATTTCTCCATCATGGCAGTAAAGGAACCCTGCAGCCAGCGTAGCTCTCTCCCCACCGTCGGCAATACAGGTACCCAAGTAAAAAAAAACCGTACTTTCCTACCTAACATTAGAAAAAATCATTGTACACCATTCGTCGTGTTTAAGGCAGGATATATCGTAAGTAATCTCAAAACAGGTAGAACCATGCTCCTACCTTCGAATTTCAGTAACTTTGGCGGGCCCCAGAGCGCAGCGCGCACCGCACCGCCTGGACTCCCTAGCGCCGTTTCTGCGTTGCCGTTGCGTAAATACAATATTTCTGCTTACCAAGAACTCTACAAAATGCACGGGACCAAAGTAAACCATTCGTCGTGTTTAAGGCAGGACATATCGTAAATAATCACAAAACAGGTAGATTCATAATCTTACCCTCAATTTTTTATAATTACGATGGCGAGCTCCCGAGCGCCGCGCACACACAGCACCCGCAACACCGGCGCCATTACTGCGCGGGTCACAACATTACTGTGCATCAAGTAGCATCAAGAACCATAAAAATGTATGGGCCAAGGTAACAAGAATCCATAAAATTTGATCCTCGACGCCAACGGGACCATGGGTTGCAGGGGGATTGGGTGGGGGATGTAAAGCAAAATGAGAACATGACAGCTAAATAAAAGCTCACTATATGGCACCTATATATGGCATGGAACATGGATGCCAATGGGATGCTGGGTTGAAGGAGATATAGGGTGGGGAGGTTAGGTTAGGTTAGGTTAGGTTAGGTTAGGTTAGGTTAGGTTAGGTTAGGTTAGGTTAGGTTAGGTTAGGTTAGGTTAGGTTAGGTTAGGTTAGGTTAGGCTAGGCTAGGCTAGGCTAGGCTAGGTTAGGTTAGGTTAGGTTACAATAGGTTAGTTAGGTTAGGGTAGGTTAGCTTAGCTAAGCTTAGGTTCTGGTCTATTAGCTTATATCTAAGCTCATAAGGTCTATGAGCTTATATCTAAGCTTAGGTTAGGTTAGGTTAGGTTAGGTTGGGTTAGGTTAGGTTAGGTTGGGTTAGGTTAGGTTAGGTCAGGTCAGGTCAGGCCAGGTCAGGTTAGGCTAGCTTAGCTTAGCTTAGCTATGGGATGCTGGGTTGAAGGGGATATAAGGTGGGGAGGTTAGGTTAGATTAGGTTAGGTTAGGTTAGGTTAGATTAGGTTAGGTTAGGTTAGGTTAGGTTAGGTTAGGTTAGTTAGGTTAGGTTAGGTTAGGGTAGGTTGGCTTAGCTAAGCTTAGGTTCTGGTCTATTCTCAGGTTAGGTTTGGTTAGGTCAGGTCAGGCTAGCTTAGCTTAGCTTAGCTTAGGTTCTGGTCTATTCTCAGGTTAGGTTAGGTTAGGTTAGGTTGGGTTGGGTTGGGTTGGGTTGGTTAGGTTAGGTTAGGTTAGGTTAGGTTAGGTTAGGTTGGTTAGGTTGGTTAGGTTAGGTTAGGTTAGGTTAGGTTTGGTTAGGTTAGGTTAGGTTAGGTTAGATTAGATTAGATTAGGTTAGGTTAGGTTAGGTTAGGTTAGGTCCGGTTAGGTTAGGCTAGTTTAGGATATGTTCTGGACTATTCTGGCCTGTGTGTTTTCATAAATGTACCTAAACTCGATAAGAAACGATTTTGGTTGCTTTATTATTGTTTCCTTGGTTCCGTACATGTTTTATGGTTCTTGATAAGCAGAAATATTGTGCTTTCGCAACAACGCAGAAACGGCGCTTGGGAGTCGGGGCGGTGCGGTGCGGTGCGTGCGGCGCTCGGGAACTCGCTATCATATTTATTAAAATTCGAGGGTAGGAGCATGATTCTATCTGTTTTGAGATTATTTACGATATGTTCCGCCCTAAACACGACGAATGGTTTACCTTGGTCCCGTACATTTTGTAGAGTTCTTGGTAAGCAGAAATATTGTATTTACCAACGGCAACGCAGAAACAGCGCTGGGGAGTCCAGGCGGTGCGGTGCGCGCGGCGCTCGGGGGCCCGCCATCGAAGTTATTGAAATTCGAAGGTAGGAGCATGATCCTACCTGTTTTGAGATTATTTACGATTTGTGCCGCCTTAAGCACGACGAATGGTGTGCAATGATTTTTTCTAACATTAGGTAGGAAAGTACACCTACACCTTTGTAGCCATCTATAAGCCCAATGCTGGCAGTCTGGTGTAGTGAAGTGTTGTAACAAGTGGCAGTGTACCATGCCAAGTATTCAAGTCTTGCCTTGTGAGTGCTATGATGGATAAACATTCTGTGATTAGCATGATGCTTGTGCATGCAGGTTATAATCTACATATGTGATACCAGCAGTTGGAACCAGATGGGCCAAGATGTGTGCACAGGAGCTTAATGTTTTGCCTTGGTAAAGTTATGTTGTATGGTCAGTCCACAGCAGGTCAGCCAAGGAAAAACTATTAGCTAGCTTGTGTTCCTGATCAAAAATCAAAAGGCATTCATACATTATTGAAATGGATGGAGTTTGTTTTGTTCCATGTGTAACATGGATTAAAAGAGGTGTCAGCAAAGAAAGGCCAGACAAGGTGAGCATTATAGTGTTTTGATGTTTGCTTCACAATGAACATGTCCACTTTTTAAGTTGTTATCCCACAACAATTGTACCTTTGGTATAATCATGGGCATGAAACATGAGACAGCTATGATATATGATATGGTTATGTTGAAGCAGCACAAAGATGACACAATAATCTGAAATTAGCACAGATGTTCTGCTATTCAAGCAACAATACTAGTGTTAACTGGCTGCTAATATTATTGGCAAATATGACAAGTACAAACACAATGTCTCAGGCTTTTGGCAAATTTGAATGCGAACAATCTATTGTGAATTATGGATCTTCTCATGGTGGCTGCCACATTTCTAGGAGCATTTTGTTTTAGCATGATTTGTTTTGATGCATGAAATGCTGATAGAAGTCCTCATTCTGCTAAAGATGTCATTAAACCATGGGACCATTTGTCTGCCATTTCTGACATTGTAAAATGCTGTTGTAATGCATTTTCAGGTTGAACTTACAAAAGAAGACTTGGCACAAATCATAGAAGACACCAGAGGCAAACTGAGGTGAGAATAAAGTTATGCTCCCTTGAATGATTGATTCATTGGCACAGTTAACTGATATTCTTTCTTTCCAAGGCAAAAAGGTATGCCTCAGTGCAGGGATGTAATACAATTTTGTGTTGCAGAGATGTTGAAATGTCTCAGTCTGCAACTGTGGAAGATGATGGTGATGAGGAGGGTGGTGATCATGCAGAAGATTTGGATGAATCTAGAAGACCACAACAGGCCAGTGGTGATGTTTATGACATGGAGCATTATGACGACGATGAGGATGGTGAGTGCTGTGACTAACCTGATTCTACTTAGATGATTGATCCACATGTCCTTGTGCTAGAACTGTAACTGAACATATCATAAGTGCTTGGCTTAATTCAGACCAAAAACATGAACTTTGACTGCCCAACCAGTTCATGTGCAAGATGCCACACACTAACAAAAAATGTGGCAGGTGTATTGGTCTTGTATGACATGTGGCATTACTCTCCATGTACTGCATGACATGTGCCATTGCTCTCCATACACCATATATGACTGTGATGAAGCACCCTTGCTAGGTCTGTGTGGTATGTGCACAGCTTTGTATATGTAGGAGAGGTGTGACTAGGGTGGTCCACACCTGACAATTCTGCTCAGTGCGCGACACCCCACCCTCACGCGCGACAGAGATGTGTCTGCAGCCGCACTCACTGTGTGCTGCAGAAGGCGAGCAAAACGTGCTGGCGCTGGGCCAGATGGCCGAGTTCGCCAGCAACGCGGACGACCCGTACGTGACCCGCGCCGACGCGGACGAGTCGGACAGCGAGGCCGAGGACCTGCAGGTGCGACGCGACGAGAACCTCATCATCACTGGCCTGGTGGACGGCGATGCCAGCACGCTTGTCTTCCACGGTACGGTGCCGGCCGTGCGGCGGGAGGGGAGCGACGACATGCCCGGGACACCGGCGCGCGGCTGGTGCTCGCCGCGACCTGCTCACCTGTCGTGGTGCGCCCGCCTGTTTTGAGCGCTCTCGGACGGTTGACTTGAGGGCGGCACTGGATCCGCCAAGCTGCTGTTCCCGGAGCAATTACTTTTTGAAGAGGGGAATACATTTACCCCTGAGAGAAATGTATGTCAGTGGCTAGCTCGGTGGCGAGATGGAAGGATGCGATGCTGATGGTGACATTTTTAAGTACTTTGAAACACAAGCTAACACATTATTACCACACACATGGTGATAATAGAGTAGTGCGTGCTTCGATGCTGTCGTGCCGCAACATGTTAAAAATGTGCTTTTTTCCCATTCGCAGTATTCAACGAGGAGCAGGGCTCGATGTACGTTCACCACGACATTCTCCTATCGTCATTTCCCATCTGCGTCGAATGGCTCAATTACGACCTCGACCAGAGCACGCCAGGTATATCGATTTATCGCTATGTAGTCTACGAGAAGGCAGACAAATTGCATCAAGAACTGGCACATGTATGCTAGATATTGTGTTTACTGATTGGTTCACTGCCCATTATTGCTTGGCAGTCATTCTGTTAAATCACCTGTTCCCATATGGCATGGCCTCCCACATCCTTGTTTTCCTGCATTGTCAGTTACACAACCGCATGAACCTACGCTAGAGCGATAATCCTGGTGCAAGTGCTTAGAAGAACCCATGTAAACGCCATGCCTTGTCTACCACATGAATCGCCTCGCGGGCGACATCTGTGCAGTGTCGCTCCCACTGTAGCTTTGTCGCCCGGCCACCAGGTAACCTGGTGGCAGTGGGCTCGATGTCGCCCGTGATCGAGGTGTGGGACGTGGACGTTATCAACTGCTTCGAACCGGCCTACAAGCTGGGCAAGCGAGGCAAGAAGAAGATCAAACTGGGCCTGGGCCACAGCGACGCCGTGCTCAGTCTGGCATGGAACCGGCACATCGGGTGAGTGGATGTCCACTGTGGAACTGACTTATCGGCTAGGTATCCGCCGTGGAACCGACACATCGGGTGGGTGTCCGCTGTGGAACTGGCACATCGGGTGGATGTGTGTCCGCTTTGGAACCGACACATCGGGTGGGTGTCCGCTGTGGAACTGGCACATCGGGTGGATGTGTGTCCGCTTTGGGACCGACATATCGGGGGGGGGGGGGGGGGGGTCCGCTGTGGAAATGGCACATCGGGTGGATGTCTGTCCGCTTTGGTACCGACACATCGGGTGGGTGTCCGTTGTGGAACTGGCACATGGGATGGGCATCTGTCCACTCTGGAACAGACATATCGGGTGGGTGTCCGGTTTGGAGACGACACCTCGGGTTTGCGTTCACTGTCGGTCGGCTCTCGCGCACTGTTCTCGTATCGTCCCGTCACGTGTCACGTGCCTGCCGGGCAGTGAAGCGACGCCGGCGTTGCAAGACCCGGAAGTGCAAGATCATGTGTCCCGGAAAAAACGCTATTTTGCTGACTGATACGGCAGAACTCGCGCGAGTCAATTTTGGCTTGTAACTTGCTATTTCCGTCTACATCCCGTTTCCGTCCTTCCGTTTGCCCGGGCTGAAAGGATGCAGGGGGCGTATGCAATGTGAAAAGAAAGTCGGAAACAGGCTTAACTGTCGTGTCCTCATTGCCTACCATTTCCGACACGGAACTCGCGAGCTCTGAGCACTGGCAGGTCGTGGATGGTATATCCACCACTGGTGGCTTACTGGTACGACATGACCACCGATACAGAGACGTGTCGGAGCGACGAGACACGGCACAGCATTACAGGCGTGATAGGACACAACGCAGATGCTGCTGTACATGATTTATATTAACTGACGGTAGCACGTCACCTGCCGGCAGGCCCCAAAAGATACCGCAGATCTCACAATAAGAAATAATCGTCCCATTCGCCCGGATGTTCCACAAGTCCTTGTATGAATTCGCCAGCGTCCGTTTTCTTGCCGCCTGTCCGTTGTCATGGTATGTCATGTCATGGTCATGTCACGCTCGCCTTTTGGACCTCGTCGAGTTTGACTCCAGCTTACACTTCCAGGAAACCTGCTCTGCGAAGCATCCGGGCTTTCGATTTTTCTGTCTATGTGAAGTCCTTTCTGGCGAGTTGTGCTTCAAAATACTTGTTGGAAGTGTTTGCAAGCACGCAGTTATCTTACAATATACCGCACCACTGTCTCCTGGTGATAACCTATTGCGTCGGGTCTACCGTCTCCTCACATAACACGGTGGTGGTACTTATTATAATAATGTCTGTGTTTTCGCAGCCTGCACTGCTTACCATCGCTAGATGAGTTTGAAGCTCACCTCTCGTAGGTCTGCTTTGGTTTTTCTTGCTGGCGTCTTAAACAGCTGCATTTTCCGCCTCGCCGTTTGGTTACGTTGTGAGCATCCCCCGTCCAGCTCCGCCCCCAAACAGCCCAGTCACAGCGCCCCTTCGTGTGACACACGGACTCTCCACGCCACCCTCAGTACGGTGCCGTCGCAGCTGGCACACTGACTCTGCGCGTGTCCGGCAGTCACGTGCTGGCCAGCGGCTCGGCGGACCACTCGGTGCTGCTCTGGGACCTGGAGACGCAGAAGAAGGCGTCCCAGCTGGACTGCCGGGAGAAGGTGCAGACGGTGGCCTGGCACCCGCGCGAGCTGGACCGCCTCCTGTCGGCAGACTGCGCCGGGTACGACACGCCCGCGATCTGGAGACGGAGGGGGGGGGGGGGGGAGGTGGAGGAAGTATGACGCGGCGACTTCTCGGACTCTCAGCACAGGTACTTCGTGGTACCATGTGCCATGTGCAGTAGGCGCGACTTGGCTTCGTGGTACTGAGATTGTACCCGAGTGCTGCACAAACGTCCGGCAGAGACCGGGGTGTGATATGGCGCAGGTGCTGTTGAATGGTACGGCACAGGCTATTCCCGAGGTACGACACTGACGTGGTGCCGAGTTGCCGGACGAACTGTTCCCGTGGTACGATGCGGCTTTGTCTTTGGTCGGGTGAGCTACACAGTGGACTGTCCAGAGAACAGCCAAGCGATATGATCGGGACGTCTTAATGCCTTTGGAATACCATAGTGTCGACCTAAAACGTCTGAACGTGCGTGTCTGTGCATGTTCCCCAGACCACAGCTGTCTGAGATGTGGTCGGCCCGTGTTCCAGGGACGTGCGCGTCTGGGAGTGCCGGGCTGGCGAGAGCAGGCGCTGGCGGCTGGGCGGGGAGGTGGAGCGGGCCGTTTGGGACCACTTCAGCCCCACCGGCGTCCTGGTGAGCGTGCTGCTTCGGTGGCTCGGGCCAGGGTAGCCCCCCCCCCCCCCCCGTCAGTCGGGGAGCTGCACCCCGAGCCACGGCATTGTCGGCCACCTGCTGTTTGATTTGTGGCGGTCTGAAAATCGTATGGTACAAATCGTACGTACGTGATGATGGACGAAAACGTATGGTACAAAGAGGCGGTAAGGTTGCTTAAATTGCGTTGTGGTAGCAGCGTTGCGGATCTAGTAGATGTCTGGATTTGACACCTATTTTTGTCGCTTGAATGCCTGCTTATTCGAAAAGATGCGTGTAGCCGACTTAAGAGTTTATGCATGCCTTTTGTGAAGCGTGGCTGCCAGGCCTTGCCGGGCCATGGAAACCGATGTTCCCACCATCGGTTGGATGCAAGACAATAATCAGTAGGGTTAGAGAAAGTGGCTGTTTCAGTGGATTTGTTAACTGTCAGGCAATTGTGGGCAAGCCTTGTTCTCTTGGACAACTCGCCCTCGCCCCACAGCGAAAGCGTTTTTTTTATGGAACGCGACGAACGTGGTCGGACGCCCTTTTATGGGGCGCCAGCCACTGCAGAGGTTATGTTAGCGCTCGGGGGCGGTAGCTCCGACGGGCTTAGAATCCGGGCCCCACGTGGGAGCCGGATGTGGTAACCACTCGGTCATCACGCCCCCGAGGCGTGTGTCAAAGCGACCACGCTTCGCGCAGTGCTCCCGTGAAGTTAACGCACCGAGCGCACCATGCGCCCTGACGCCGCTCGCAACTTCGTGATCTTCCGCCCCGTCCCGTACATAATGCAGCTGAATTGGGACGGAGCCGGCAGTGTCGTCCTGCTCTGTAGAGTTGTTCAAAAGTTGTTGGCGAGTCTTCATGACTCCCGGATTCTCGTGGGACTCTTGAGCCCCGTTCGTTTCCCGCGGGTACATCTGACACCAGTGGACTGCCGGCAGGCCTCAACTGACGACGGCAAGCTGCATTACATCGACACTCGGACAGAGAAGAAGCCCCTGTGGAGCATCCAGGCGCACGAGGATGCGTGTACAGGTACGCCGGCGGGCCGAGAAGAAGGCGGCCACGCCGAGGCGCGTCCAACGTCCTCCAACGTGCGGTCACCGACTGACTTGTTTACAATTAGCCACTCTTCTGTACAGCGCATTGGCGTTCTGTACCGCCCTTCTCTGAGCGTCTTTCACATGCTGTGCCAGCCTGCTCTGAACGCCTGGCACGTGCGGCGCTGCGTGCTTGGACTGTTTCCGTATGCTGCGCCACCCGCCCTAAACGGGTGGATGCTAGTAGCTTCCTGCATGATCCTGTTGAGCAGCCTTTGAACCCCAACACGTGCAGAAGACTGACAAAATTGCTGACAAAATTGCGTTACCATGTGTGCCATGTGAATGCATCGAAATGCTATGTTGTGGCTGCCGTTCTGCAATGCTGGAACGGTCACGGCTAGTGCTGTGCCGGACGACGCAGGCATACTGGTCTCAGATGAGGCCCGTATTGGACCCAAAACTTTACGTGCCTGTTGAAACGTAAAAAGAAATGTAGATGGCTGGCTGCAGAAGGAAACGCATGAATGAGAAGAGATGGTCCTACTTTCGAGGTATGCACCTCAAAAATTACCTTAAACGGATATTGAGTTATGCCCCATGTCGGTTGCCCCTCCCCCCTCCCAGTGACATTTCTGAGGGCATGAAGACACAAGACAGCTTTGCGAGCTTGTATCTCGGGTGATAGCGCGTTTACTCGTACAGGCTTTTCAAAAATAAAGATAAGATAACACAACGATTATAAGGGATCCGTGCCATGTCGCTGAGCCCTGATGTTATCTTAAAAGCTTGCATATTTATTTTTGCCACAAACAAACGCATTGGTCGATGATGTCGTTATTTGTTTACTACACTAGACTTGTGTTAAGACTACTGTTTTTATTGAGGTGTGGCTTAGAACATGATTTTGCGTGTATGTGCCCAGGAAAATAGTTTTATAGACCTGTAAATTGTCATTTTTTTAGTCGTGTCGTCGAGCATCAGGATTGTTCTGCCCTGTGATGTCACTGGTGAGCCGCAGGGGTTACACTCGGCATGGTTAGGCTCGTTAGGCACCAGCTGGCTCCTGTTTTTGTATTTGTTTTGTGGCTCTTGGCCACTCTGGGACGAAGCAGCGAGGGGTGCCTACAACAGTTCATCCTCACGAACGACGCAGGTGAAAATAATTTTCGCTCGCGCGCAAAAATTGTGGAACGAGCTTCCGCCGGGCAAGGCGATTTGGTATTCTAGTACTTCACCTTTTTTAGAAGAAGAAAAGTCTCCACCGCGAGCGTTTTATGCGCAGTACGACACGGGCACAGCCAGCTCACGTTAGCAGAATTGGCCAACTTGGAAATCATACAACCCAAACAACATCTTTAGCACCAAAATGATGAGCAGGCAATTAGCATTATTCATTTTGTCGTTTCGACCATTGCTACTCACAGTGCTCGCATGGGCGCCTATTATCTTCAAAAAATTGCCATCTGACAATATTATAATTTCGGCAACAAACCAGTAATGTGATTTTTGACACGCAGACAGCAGACGATTTATAACACGTACTAAAAGATCAACCTATGCACCAAATCACGGACATACGAGAAACCAAGAATAGTATTCCAGTTATGCACATTCGTGTCTCTAATTATCTATTGGTGCGCTGAGCCTTCGTGCATAACATAATTCTGATCATTATTTTCAAATATTTGATAACTTACGGCACATCGCGCGCAGACCAGAAAGGCGCCTACACTCTTACCTTATCATTGCACTTCTTTCGACTTCTTACTTTATTATTGCACTCCTAATTTATTTCCAGATGTGTAGCTTCAATTGATATTTCCAAACAGACAACACAGAGAAAGACCCAACAATATCGGCTGAACTGAAGCATTTTCAGCAACCTTAAAAAAAAGACCAAGTCACGGAAACCCAACACCGAAGCCAAGCCAACGTTTTCGGTGCGGTACATTAACGTCTTTTAGTGCACCTCATACACGAGTCTGGATAATGCGATTCGCACTTATTGGAACCAAACACATCGTGACGACAATGTCGCTTAAGCTACAACGCTTGGGTTCAATTAATATGAATACTCCATTGCCGTGAGATGCTACCATCATGTGGTGCGGAGGGACTGTCGTAGCACCCTCTTGAAGCAGTGCACCTCTTGTACAATTCCAACGAGCGAGGCCTGAAATCGCTCTGACATCCAGAGACATACTCTGCCAAGACAATATGCCAACAGCAATCCTAGGGTAGCGGACCAAGCCCCGGAAAACTAAGACTGAAGCAAGGCCAGCGTTTTCGGTACGGTACATATACGTCTATTAGCGCAGTGCACCTCACACACGAGTCCGGATAATGCGATTCACAGTTACTAAAACTTAACACATCGTGCTGACAATGTCGGTGGAACTGCAAGACTTCGGTCCAATGAATAACACTCGTGCATTGCCGTGAGATGTTGCCATCATGTGCGGGCGGACTGCAGTAGCACCCTCTTCAAGTAGTACACCTCTTGTGTAATTCCAATTGGCGAGACCTAAAAACCGCCCTGACATCCAAAGACATCCTCTACCGAGATAATATGCCAATAGCAATCCTAAGGAAACGGACCTAGCCCCGGAAATTGAAGAAATGAAGCAAAGCCGGGTACGGTACATATACGTCTATTACCGTATATATGCCGTACCGGAACATCCAAACCGTACCAAACTGACATTCAAAGACATGCTCTACCGAGAGAATATGCTATCAACAATGCCAAAGTAATAAGCCAAGCCCCGGAAACCGAAGACCGAAGTAAATCACACGTTTTCAGTACGGTACATATGCTTTAATTGGCGCATTGCACCTCATACACGGGTCCGGATAATGCAATTCACACTTGCTAGAAATAAATATGTCGTGCGGACATTGTCGGTTCAGTTACAACACTTCGGTTTAATGACATACCCTGCAGACATACCCTGCCGAGATAATGTGCCGACATGAACCCCAAGGAAAGAAGCCAAGCCTCGGAAACCGAGGACCGAAGCAAAGGCAACGCTTTCGGTACGGTACATATACGTTTATTTGTACGGGGCACCTGAAACTAGAGTCCTTAAAATGCGATTCACACCAAGTAGAAATAAACACATTGTGCCGACAATGTCGGCTGAGCTGCAATACTTTGGTTCAATGAATAAGACTCATGCACTCTCGTGAGATGTCACCAGCATGTGCGGATGGACTGTGGTAGCGCCTTCTTAAAGTAGTGCACCTCTTGTATAATTCCAATTGGCGAGACCTAAAAACCGCTTTGACATCCAAAGACATACCCTACCGAGATAATGTGCCAACAGCAACTCTAAGGGGGCCGGCCAAGCCCCGGAAACCGAAGACCGAAGCGAGGTCAACGCTTTCGGTACGGTGCATACATGTTTGTAAGCGCAGCGCACCTTATACACGACAGTACTATCTCGGTAGAGAAACCGAAGACCGAAGCGAGGCCAACGCTTTCGGTACGGTGCATACATGTTTATAAGCGCAGCGCACCTTATACACGACAGTACTATCTCGGTAGAGAATGTTCTTGGATGCCAGAGGCGTTTTCAGGTCTCGCCAACTGGAATAATGCAAGAGGTACACTACTTTAAAGGGGTTGCTTGTACGGTCAGTCCGCGCAACATGATGGTGATATCTCACGGCAATGCATGAGTCTTGTTCATTGAACCGAAGTACGACATTGTCGTTACGACGTGTTTACTTCTAGTAAGTGTGAATCGAACTATAAGGACTGGTGTTTCAAGTGCCCCGCGCCAATAAACGTATATGTGCCGTGCCGAAAACGTTGGCTTTGCTTCGGTCTTCGGTTTGCGGGGCTTGGCCTATTTCCTTGGGGCTGCTGTCGGCATATTTTCTCGGTAGAGCATGTATCTGGATGTCAGAGCGGTTTTTAGGTCTCGTCAATTCGAATTATACAAGAGGTGCACTACTTTAAGAGGGTGCTGCTGCAGTCCGTCCGCACACGATGCCAACATCTCACGACAATGCATGGGTCTTATTCATTGAACCGAAGAGTTGTAACTGAACCGACAATGTCCGCACGACATATTTATTTCTAGCAAGTGTGAATTGCATTATCCGGACCCGTGTATGAGGTGTAATGCGCCAATTAAAGCATATGTACCGTACTGAAAACGTGGGATTTACTTCGGTCTTCGGTTTCCGGGGCTTGGCTTATTACTTTGGCATTGTTGTTAGCATATTCTCTCGGTAGAGCATGTCTTTGAATGTCAGTTTGGTACGGTTTGGATGTTCCGGTACGGCATATATACGGTAATAGACGTATATGTACCGTACCTGGCTTTGCTTCATTTCTTCGATTTCCGGGGCTAGGTCCGTTTCCTTAGGATTGCTATTGGCATATTATCTCGGTAGAGGATGTCTTTGGATGTCAGAGCGGTTTTTAGGTCTCGCCAATTGGAATTATACAAGAGGTGTACTACTTGAAGAGGGTGCTACTGCAGTCCGCCCGCACATGATGGCAACATCTCACGGCAATGCACGAGTGTTATTCATTGGACCGAAGTCTTGCAGTTCCACCGACATTGTCAGCACGATGTGTTAAGTTTTAGTAACTGTGAATCGCATTATCCGGACTCGTGTGTGAGGTGCACTGCGCTAATAGACGTATATGTACCGTACCGAAAACGCTGGCCTTGCTTCAGTCTTAGTTTTCCGGGGCTTGGTCCGCTACCCTAGGATTGCTGTTGGCATATTGTCTTGGCAGAGTATGTCTCTGGATGTCAGAGCGATTTCAGGCCTCGCTCGTTGGAATTGTACAAGAGGTGCACTACTTTAAGAGGGTGCTACGACAGTCCCTCCGCACGACATGATGGCAGGATCCCACGGCAACGGAGTAGCCATATTAATTGAACCCAAGTGTTGTAGCTTAAGCGACATTGTCGTCACGATGTGTTTCGTTCTAATAAGTGTGAATTTGTTGGTTCAGCGCACCAACAGATAATTCGAGACACGAATGTGCATAACTGGGATACTATTCTTGGTTTCTCGTATGTCCGTGATTTGGTCCCTAGGTTGCCCTTTAAGTACGTGTTATAAATCGTCTGCTGTCTGCGAGTTAAAAATCACGTTACTGGTTTGTTGCCGAAATTATAATAGTGTCAGATGGTAATTTCTTGAAGATGATAGGCGCTCAGGCGGGCATTGTGAGTAGCAATGGTCAAAACGACGAAGTAAACAATGCTAACTGCCTGCTCGTGGTTTTTGGTGCTAAATATGTTTGGATTATATGATTTCCAAGTTGGCCAATTCTGCTAACGTGAGCTGGCTGTGCCCGTGTCGTACTGCGCATAAAACGCTCGCGGTGGAGATTTTTCTTCTTCTAAAAAAGGTGAAGTACTTGAAGAATCCCGGCGATTTAGTGTATTTTCACCATGCTCCTGATGTCACCTGTCGGGCCCAGCGGGCTGCCCTGGCCCCGCGGCTCGTGCGCTGACCGAGGAGCGTCTCCCAGGGCTGGGACGGCGCTGGCCGACGGGCATCACCCGACTGTAGCTTCACAAAATGAGTGTGTGTGTGGGGGGGGGGGGGCTGAACAGTATATCTTGACTCGACCTACCCTCTAAGTGAGTCAATAAACGGGGCTGCCCCCGGTTTTGGCCCACTTCTCAAAGATGGTGGACTGTTCCCCCCCCCCCCCCCAAGGGAATAGCAAATAACACCGCTCTGTGCCAATGCCTTGAAGACATGATGGAAAAGAATGTTTGACATTTATAAGACTATATGTGATCTATACAATAAAAACATGTATGGTTCGATATATAGCAATGCATTCATCGAAATTGTATAAAAATCAATCCTATTGATGGATGCTGAAAGCTGCACTCAGAGTTGGAGAAGCCGGCAGCAGAGATATTTATTGTGTGAAGACTGCGGTGGTTCGCCTGACCGGCCCGATCCCCAGAAGTTGAGAGTTTTCCCATGTTAGATTAAGACGGTCTCGTTTCATAACCTGTCTTGAACCAATATTGTGATATGGCCGTCGTGGTTTTACCAGCCAAGGGCGTTGCTGGTCCGGAGCTGATTTGTGCTGACGTGCGCTGGCTGCCGCCGACATGAGCGCCGCTTGTTGTCCAGTTTCTGAGCCCGCCTGTGCTGGAGCGGTGACCCAGTGCGCCAGTTGACCCAAAGGTGGTCCCTGGTTTTCTTCTCAGCGGCAGCCGTGAGGCTCATCACATGCCGCGAAAGTGTCGTGTCCTCATGGCTCCCGCAGGAGACGGCATAGATGGCGTTTCTGCCGTGTCGCTTCGGCGAACCGATACGCTGTCGGGAGCTCGGGGATGTTGAAGTCATAGGTCACGAGGTCACTTGCGCGCAGGACTCCGGCCTGACACCTTGACTCCGACCCGACCCCTTGACCCTGGCACGACTCCTTCACTACGGTTCTGACTCCTTGACTCCGGCCCGACCCCTTGATTCCGGTCCTCACCCATTGACCTCCGCCTTAACTCGTGGACACTGTAGAGGACCTCCCATCGGCCGCCGGGCCCTCTCACTCTCCTTCCTCCCGGCACGCTCCCGCCCGGTGTGTCCCGTCCCGTTCCACCAACCGCTGACGAAGCTGCGCGTGGCGGCTGATCCTGGCGGCTCTGCTGGTGTCTGGACGCGGGAAAAGAGGAGAGATATCTGTTTGATTCTGCTCTGTCTGCTGACGAGTTGGATGACTTCCCCCGCTTTATCCGCGGACGTGTCCGCGGTCCCCCTCTCTTTGCTGATGTATCCGGCAGCTCCCCCTCTGTCTGCTGATGTATCCGGCAGTTCCCCATCTCTCTGCTGATGTATCCGGCAGTTCCCCCTCCGTCTGCTGATGTATCCGACAGTTCCCCCCTCTGTCTGCTGATGTATCCGACAGTTCCCCTTTCTCTGCTGATATATCCGGCAGTTGCCCCTCTGTCTGCTGATGTGTCCGGCAGTTCCCTCTCCGTCTGCTGATGTATCCGACGGTTCCCTCTCTGTCTACTGATGTATCCGACAGCTCCCCTTTCTCTGCTGATGTATCCGGCAGTTCCCCCTCTGTCTGCTGATGTATCCGACAGTTCCCCCTCTGTCTGCTGATGTATCCGGCAGTTCCCCTTTCTCTGCTGATGTATCCGGCAGTTCCCCCTCTGTCTGTTTATGTATCCGGCAGTTCCTCCTCTGTCTGCTGACGTGCCCGGCAGTTCCCCCCCTCTGTCTGCTGATGTGTCCGGCGGTTCCCTCTCTGTCTGCTGACGTGTCTGGCAGTCGGCTGTCCATCTGATCACGCGTGTGTCGCCGTCCTCAGGTCTGGCGCTCAGTCCGGAGGTGCCAGGCTGTCTGGCGACGGTGTCGGCCGACCGCACGCTCAAGGTGTGGGACGTGTCGTCGGAGCCGACCGCGCCGGTGGCCGCGCGGCCGCTCAAGCTCGGTTCCCTCCACTGCGTCGCCTTTTGCCCCGACCTGCCCTGGATGCTGTGCGCCGGTGGCGACAACAAGGAGAACTCCTTCCGGCTCTGGGACGTGCGGGAGAGCGCGGAAGGTAAGCCCACCTGGCGCTAGACGGGAGAGCGCCGAGGGTAGGCCGGTGTGGCCGCTGGACGGGAGAGTGCTGAGGGTAGGGCGGCGTGGCCGCTGGATGGGAGAGCGCCGAGGGTAGGGTGGCGTGGCCCCTGGACGGGAGAGCGTTGAGGGTAGGGCGGCGTGGCCGCTGGATGGGAGAGCGCCGAGGGTAGGGCGGCGTGGCCGCTGGACGGGAGAGCGCCGAGGGTAGGGCGGCGTGGCCGCTGGACGCGAGAGCGCCGAGGGTAGAGCGGCGTGGCCGCTGAATGGGAGAGCGCCGAGGGTAGGGCGGCGTGGCCGCTGGACGCGAGAGCGCCGAGGGTAGGGCAGCGTGGCCGCTGGACGGGAGTGCCGAGGGTAGGGCGGCGTGGCCGATGGACGGGAGGGCGCCGAGGGTAGGGCGGCGTGGCCGCTGAACGGGAGAGCGCTGAGGGTAGGGCGACGTGGCCGCTGTATGGTAGAGCGCCGAGGGTAGGCCGGCGCATGGTGTGGTCGTGGTCAGGGTCATGGCTACCCGTGTTGAAGTGGCAACGGTCCGGGTTAAGCGCATGTTTTGAAAAATAGCGGGCATGGGCACGGTGCAAACTTTTCAAAATTTCCGGCAGGTGCGTCAACATGATCTAGACAATGTTGCCGCTTGCGCCTATGTTAGCCATCATCTTCCATTCGCATTACTTTTGCAATTACCAGCGCTAAAGAGTATATTTTGGTGTAATTTGTCCTACATCTCTGCTGTCAAACGGCTAAAAAAGGTACGTACGTCAGGGTGACAGGTGGGCACAGCTGAATAGGAATGGTTGGCGGGTGGGTGTAGGCACAGCCTTGTTGATACTGCTGTACGGTATGCCGCAAGTGGGTAGATCGAACAAAGGTATAAGCCTCTAGTGCGAACTTCTCTCTGGGACGGAGTTGTCGGACTCCGTCTCAATGTGCATTCACTCTAGACGGTGACCTCCGCACAGTGTGTGTACCATTGTTTGCATGGTCGTCGGTGGGACAGTACCCGATTTCGAGAATCTAAGCGTGTGTTTTGCTCGTTAGAACCTCTGCTCCTGCCAAAGCTTGAGTAGGCGGCAGTAACACGTCAATAGAACATGTGACAGTCAGTGGAGAGTCGATGCCGAAGGGACGACGATGCATCGAGTTAGTGCGACTTGTGTTTACTGAGAATTGCGATAACCAAAGCTATATATATACTGGGGCCATCAATCTGCCAAGCTGAATCCACCTGCTGCTGAATAGGATTGTTAATTCCGCGTATCATTCCGTATATTCCGTTTATATATATATATATATATATATATATATATATATATATATATATATATCTATATCTATATCTATATCTATACCTATATCTATATCTCTATATATATATATATATATATATATATATATATATATATAATTCCGCGTGTAATTCCGCGCTGGTGAGAACTGGTCCAGAAAAAGACCATGGCGTCTTGCAGGGCCCGTGCAGACGTTTGTTAACCGCGTATTACTTGCTGCTGAGGTTGTTGAGGAGGGGAGAAAACAAAACATGAGGTACAAATAACAGACAAAGTACACGAACGAGGGAGAGAGAGATTTTCGTGAATGATCCGAGTTCAGGTGCAGAACAGATGCTATTGACTGCGTGACGGTAGCATTTCAGTAGCTGCGTTTACAACTTCGTAGCGAACATAAACGCAAAATTTCGTTATCGCCACGTGCAATGGGGAGAGAAAGTGTTTGCATGCAGGATGGTGGAGCCCTGAATTGAATTCAATGCTTGATAGTACCTGGGCTATGGATGCCTAATCCTGTGATCCTCTTTCGTCAGACGTCAGACATTGTGTGAAAGTATCGGAGATATCAGCTCTAGACATTGTGTGAAAGCATCGGAGATATCAGCTCTGGTCACGGGTAGAATGCTTCAGATAGTTGGAGGTGTCCATCGTCGGTTTTGGCCAAGTTTCATGTGATTTCCTTGAAAACGGATAGGCACTTGACGTTCACATGCTTTCTTGGAAATCACACTCGTCGCGCAGCATGTATAGGTGAGCTAGTAACGCAGACGTGCGGCTCATGCTAACAAAACCGTCTCCGATCAAAGAACGGAATCAAGTTCAGCAGTCCCCGTTGCACGACGTGGCCCGTTGTGGCGATGTTTACTGTTTGTTTAGGACGCGTGGGCCAGACGTATCTCGACCGCTCTCTCCTCCGCCACCCGGTACACGGGTCACGGCGGGTGACGGCGGGGGCGGCCGGCCGGCCGGCCGTGGTCAGCTGGCGGCGTGCCAATTTTCCAGCCGGCGGTGGCGGCGTCCGCCGGGACTGCACCGGGATGGCCACACCCGGCCTCAGGTGGTCGCCGCCGGCCGGGCTCCGCGCCCAATCTGCCAGCGGCGGCGGACCACGCGCGCGCGCGCCAGCTGGGCGCGGCCCGCCGCCGCCGAATGTGACGCGTCGCGCCGGCGGCCATGCCCGAGGCCAGAGGTCGTTGTCAGTTCCCGGGGTGGCGGAAATCAGATCTGGCCGCCGCCGTCGGCACCGAGCGGCTGTCTTGCTTCTGGCTTATACCTTAGTGTGCTGCGGCTTTAGCAACGTCTCTGGAGTGGCGTGTTCGTCTTGAATTCGCCGCGAATTTCGAATTTTGGTGGGGTATGTCAGCACGCAAATTGTGCCGTAATGGAGTGAGTGGTTGTTATTATGTACGTGAGTGCCACGTCGGCGTTAGCATGAGTAAAAGTGCGTTTTGGGGGCGTTCTTGTCGTTTTGGCGATAGAATTAAAACAGCACTCACCGGAAAACAACTGTCCGTTGAAACGCAAGAACTATACTAGAAACGCGACTAACCGCAAAGTGGGGTGTTTTTGTCATGCTCGGGTTTGTGAGCAATTTGAGCTTTTGGCGAAGCCGTAGGTATCGGTTTTGCGGTTATGTTCGGCACCTGGTACGTTCCAAATCAATTCCAGCAGAATTGTGACTTGGCGTGGTAAATAGACTTATTCGGAATGCACAGCAATGCAGGCAATGTTTGCAGCAATGTCCCAGAGCGTCCTAGTGGTTCTGATACATCACACCGCGTCCCTGTTGTATGCGATGTTTGCTCAGTGAATCCGCACTGCAGCCGGAGACCTAGGGTGCGTGGGGCACTGACCTGGTTCGCGTGACCCTAGTTTAACTTGGGGCGGGTGTGATCCATCTCACCTGACCGTACGCCCGCACCTGAAGCACCGCAAGGTTGTGATCCAGCCCGACGCGGCACTGGCGTGACCCGCTCTGACCTGGTACCGGTGTGGTTCTGGCCAGTCACCGCCGTCCGCCCTCGTCACGGCTGTGACCCCGCCTGACCCGGCGGCGCTCCGTTGCAGTGCGGGACCGGTTCGGCGCCCGCCCGCTGACCCGCGTGCTCCCCGAGCCGGAGAGTGCGGCGCCGGCCGCCGCCAGTGCCATGGAGACGGACGTTGCCGCGCAGCAGCTGGCCGAAATGAGCGTGGACGGAGCGCGGCCGGGCCCCAGCGCCAGCGGACCCCGGCCCGGGGCGCCGCGCACCGCCTCCGGCAAGAAGCTCAAGAAGCGGCACAAAGTGAGGGGCACGGGCAAGTGATGGCCGGAGCGGGCGCGGCCGGCGCCCTGTGGCACCGGATGGCGTGTGGCGTTTGTTATGCACTGTTTGCGGCGGGCTTTGCTGGTCTATGCGCTGCCACCGCGGTGGTGGTCAGGCGCCGAAGGGAGCCGGCTTTCATACAGGTTATCTTGTGGTCGGACGTTGTGTTTTTGGGTACACTGCCGCTGTGGCTGAGCCGGGGGCCGTCAGGTGCGACCAGGGGACGCGGCTGGGTGCAGCGTCTGGCTGGGGACGGGGCTCAGCCGCAGCGGTGGCTGGAGACGGAGGTCAGCTGCAGCGGCTGGCTGGGGACGGGGATCACCTGTAGCGGCTGGCTGGGGACGGAGGTCAGCTGCAGCGGCTGGCTGGGGACGGGGATCAGTTGTAGCGGCTGGCTGGGGACGGGGATCAGCTGTAGCGGCTGGCTGGGGACAGAGGTCAGCTGCAGCGGCCGAAAAACAGGCCACGTGCCAGGCGGTGTCGTATTCAACCGTGAGAAGTCAAGCTCACTTCGCACGTTGCACCCTAAAACGCAATTCTTGTGGTGAACGTGCATACTGTTTACGAAACAGATGCCCCTGACGACCGGTCCGGGCGTTTTATTGTGCCGCAGTATTTGCTTCAGACACCGTTGAGTCACAGATAATGCGATCCTGTTCAGCTGCAATAGACAGAGAACGGTCACCACGCCACTTGATAATAATGACCGGGGCTTTAAGTCTCATCTTTGCCAATGCTATTTCGAGACGGAGATCTTTGTGGTATTTTGAAACGGATGTCTCATGTATCATGTTGTGGATTCGGCGGTGGCAACGTGCCAGGTCCTCGTAGCCAATACCTCCGACAGCCCAGAGAACGAGCATCCTCACCACTGTAACCACCATCTGAACGACGTAACAGGGCCTCGTAGCCCAATACCGACAAGCCCCAGAGAACGAGCATCCTCACCACTGTACCACCTCTGACGACGTGCCAGGGCCCGTCGTTATCCAATACCGACAAAGCCCAGAGACGAGCATCCTCACCACGGTACCACCTCTGACGACGTACCAGGTGCCTCGTAGCCAATAAATACCGACAGCCCCGAGAACGATGCAGTCTCACCAATTGTACCAACCTCTGAACGACGTACCAGGGGCCTCGTAGCCATACCGGACAAGCCCCAGAGACGAGCATCCTCACCACTCGTACCACCTCGGACGACGTACCAGGGGCCTGATAGCCAAGACTGACAGCTCCAGAGGCGAGCGTCCTTCCCACTGTACCGCCTTTGGAAACCGGGCGCAGGCCTCCACGAGGCGGCACCGTAGCGACACAAGGTCAGCATCGTTTGACGGAGGGGAACGCCGGCAGTGACGCTTATCGTTATGGCGTAATTATTGTGAGTTTATCATAATTGTAAGTCGAGCTGCAGCTGGCCGCACGCGGTCCAGTGCGACGCGTTGGCCGATTCCAGTTCTGTCCAGTGCTGGTGTGTGTCCCGACAACCAGGGCATGTGCAAGCAAAAACGTATCAACTTTACGGTGGATGAAAATTTATCGTCCCCGAATGATCGTGCAATTGCGACGCTGTGCGCGTCAAAGGTGCGCCATTGGTGGACCGTGGAGCGGACGACGCCTTTGCGAAGCTGCTCTCGAACGTAACAGTATGAAAGCAATCGAGAGTCCCTGGAAAGTACGCAGGTGTAACACTCAGTTTACTGCGACAGATGTTCACTAGAATATTCACGTCTTTGGAGAATAGGTATGCCTGCATGGAAGATAACGTAGATCAGACGAAATTGTTCATTTCATCCCACGGGAATAGTAAAGTCTCGATATTAGTGGCCTCGATACGTCAGCAGCTCATCTAAAGCCATGTTTTATCGTGGATAAACGTAAAAATTCACCTTGGTATGTCTTCCCTACCAAAAACAAAAGCATATCAACATCCCCGTGCATTGACTTTTCCACACCCCCGCTCGCCCCTCGATGAACAAGGCCACTTGCCGACAAGCGTGCGACCGAGACGACCCATCCTCTGACGTCACCGGAACGGCCGACCAATCGGGTGGACACGCCACGAGCGGGCTTCCATTTGTTAAAGAAGTGTTATAACGCGCGTGCATGTAGCTACGCTCATAGCGAAATGCCATATGCCTACTGGCTTCCTGTCAGGTCACCACCATCGCCGGCATGACGGCTTCCTGTCAGGTTACCTCATCGCCGGCGTGACGGCTTCCTGTCAGGGCACCCTCATCGCCGGCGTGATGGCTTCCTGTCAGGTCACCTCGTCGCCGGCGTGACGGCTTCCTGTCAGGTCACACCATCGCCGTCATGACGTGCTTCCTGTCAGGTCACACCTCGTCGCCGGCGTGATGGCTTCCTGTCAGGGTCACCCCCATTGCCGGCATGAACGGCTTCCTGTCAGGTCACCCCATCGCCGGCATGACGGCTTCCTGTCAGGTTACCTCATCGCCGGCGTGACGTGCTTCCTGTCAGGTCACCTCATCGCCGGCGTGATGGCTTTCTGTCAGGTCACCCCATCGCCGGCATGACGGCTTCCTGTCAGGTCACCCCCATCGCCGGCATGACGGCTTCCTGTCAGGTTACCTCATCGCCGGCGTGACGGCTTCCTGTCAGGTCACCCCCATCGCGCCGGCGTGACGGCTTCCTGTCAGGGTCACCTCATCGCCGGCGTGATGGCTTCCGGTCAGGGTCACCTCGTCGCCGGCCGTGACGGCTTCCTGTCAGGTCACCTTATCGCGGCGTGATGGCTTCCCGTCAGGTCACCTATCGCCGGCATGACTGCTTCCCGTCAGGTCACCTTATCGCCGGCGTGACGGCTCCCGTCAGGTCACCTTATCGCCGGCATGACGGCTTCCTGTCAGGTCACCTTATCGCCGGCATGACGGCTTCTCAGGTCACCCCATCGCCGGCATGACGGCTTCCTGTCAGGTCACCTCATCGCCGGCATGACGGCTTCTGTCAGGTCACCTCATCGCCGGCGTGATGGCTTCCTGTCAGGTCACCTCATCGCCGGCGTGATGGCTTCCTGTCAGGTCACCTCGTCGCCGGCGTGATGGCTTCCTGTCAGGTCACCCCATCGCCGGCGATGGCTTCCTCAGGTCACCCCATCGCCGGCATGACGGCTTCCTGTCAGGTCACCTATCGCCGGCGTGACGGCTTCCTCAGGTCACCTTATCGCCGGCGTGACGGCTTCCTGTCAGGTCACCTTATCGCCGGCGTGACGGCTTCCGTCAGGTCACTTATCGCCGGCGTGACGGCTTCCTGTCAGGTCGCAGCCAACAGCCGCCACGCGTGCATCAATGGAGTGGGAAAGCGTTCTCGCGAGCAATCGGACAGATCCCCCAACTCACTGCGTTTCAGCGGAGCGCCGCGCTCGACACATGCCCGACTTCAGTCGGCTCACTCACAGCGCACACGGACACTGGAGATACAGAATTACTTTTTGTGAATACGCGTGTTGCCGCTCTTTCCCGCGGCCTCCGCAAAGGTGGAGGAGCCGCGCGCGATGGAGGGCGACGATGGTGGTGCAGTCGTCGCGGCCTCACTTCCCACTGCTCCGCATCTTCTGCTTCAAACGGGTGATGAAACTGCTGCCGTCGGAGCCGGCGATCTCGTCCGCGATCTCAACTCCGACTGCCGGAGGAGGGCGCGTCGTCAGCGCTGAGTCCGGCGGCGAGCGACGGCCGTGCCTGACACGCGCTGGTGGGACGCCGGATAACTTAGAGAACTGGCGATCTTTCGTTGACATGGCGCCCATCTGTGAGTCAGCAGGAGTGGCGCAGCACGGCCAGCCTCCCTAGAACCGTTGTTCCAGGGTTTCCAGAGAGGCTCTTGTTAGCGTACCCAGGATGCGCCGCGTAAAGGGGGAGCCAGGAACATGGTAGGTACGATGACATTGTGACCACCTTTGCAACCCGACTTCATCCTAACATGGCACCACGAAGCAAAGGTAAAAAGAAAAACTGCAAGGCGGCCGAGTTCCCCAAGAGAGTTCTGAACAGTTGTCATGGCACGAACTCCTGCGATAGAAATATTGGTAAAGAAACAGAAACTCCGTGCCAGGCGCCCACACCAAGTCTGTAGAAACCACCCCCGCTGGAGAGACATCCAGCTAGAACTCACGGTATCGCTTGAGGGTGGCCTCAGCAGCGCTTCGCGCGGTCCGGGGTTGTCGCTCGCGAGTCCCGGTTCTCCGGCGCCCCCACGCTCAGGATCCGCAGAAGGCCGCCTGCAAAGGCCGGGCGCCTCGTTAGCTGCCTCAGCCAGCTAGGCCGCTGTGAATCGATCGAGTCCCACGCCACGCCGCGCCCCGCTCGGTCCTGCGCGCGCGCGCCCGTGCCTCTTGGAAAAAAATATATCTTACTTTAAATATGTGACGTAAGAAAGCTTCAGCGTGCTTCCGACAATGACTTCCAGTTTGGCCCTGTTACCGCAATTGATCCAGGGGTCACGCTTTATAAGTTTAAAAAATTCACAAATGAGTCCACATGGAGAGAAACTGGATGCCGTGGTTCTCTTATGTTGCGCTATTTCAGGGGTAAAATTGACCCTCATCAACCAAGCTTGCCGTTTTGAACCGGTCAACCTGGCGCGTGTCAATGAAATTTGCCTTCTAATTGTTAAATAGGCGTAAATTTTAGGCTGCAAGGCCTGAGGGATCTCCATGTAGCCATACTAACAGGCATACAGTAAAAACAAAACGTGAAGCCTTCCTATTACGAGCCGCCATACACAAGGTGCTGGACTACAGCACGGTAACAAATGGTATGTTTGGATAAGCTTTTCCCTTAGGGAATAAAGCTAGTTGCATAAAGATGACCGAATAAATTTTTTTATGTTGTATTGCATCAAAATAAGATTTTAAATCCATATCACTTTTGTGTGTGGTATAGGATAGCCCTTGCTAAAATAAAAAGCGCAAATACCTCGTAATTATTTACGGTCAAACCACGCTTCTCAGATTTGACTGGATCTGTGGTACCTTCCATATTTCAGCTGCATCAGGCCTCCACCATTTCTTTTCACGCGCCGCGCAAGCTTTGAAAGATCCAAAATATTAACTAGCATATAAACTGGGAGGAAAAAACACGACCATTATTAACCTATTCATTTTCACATGTAGCCCTTATGCTCAAGTTTCGGGCTTGGCACGTGCCAAAACCACTCGGCCACCTGCTGCAGCCCCGAATTATTTCTTGGTGCGGCAGCTGTTGCCTATTTCGGCGAGCAGCTGAGTCGTGGCAGTCAGGGCTGTGACGTCGGCCGCCTCCCCCACCCACGGCTCCGGTCGTGACGCCGGGCAGTTTGTTTCAATGAGCCTTGTATCGACAGCAGGCTCCTGTGGCTTACGGCCGGGGCTGTCTGACCGGGTTGTCCAAAGTGACAGTAGGACGGGCAGGCCGTGCTTTCGTAGAGCAAATCCAAGTTTTCTATAGTTTGCCGAAGAAATTGATCGCTGCTGGGTCTTAAGATGTTTGTTGCATGAAATGAAGAGTAAAGAACCGCCACTTACATACTGAAAATGTTTCACATTTGAATGTTTGGGAGGTTTTTAGAAGGTCTCCATCAAGATCAGAATGAAGTAGGGAAAAAAGACACGTTGCGTCCTAACGACAAATTTCGCCGGAAGGTATATGCTTGGTAAAACGTGATGTACCAAGCCCTTTGCGCGGGGGCGCTCACGAAAAGCGTGCCCAAGTACGCCATGGAACAGAGTGTATTTGCGTCACTGAAGTTTCAATGTGTCTCAAAATCAAGATTAGGTGATATCATTGTGTCCACACAATCACCACATTGCATTATCACATCAACCACGCTACGTTTTCCATCACTTGTGTGTCTGTCCAGTTCCATCCCTGGACCGGACGCGCACCGACACACGGTCCTGTAACGGTTTCCGCGGAACACCCTCCGAGGAAGGGGAGGGGGTTAAACGGCGGCGAGGGAAGAGTGTGTCAAAGGGCCAAAGATCCGCACTTCTGGCTTTATCCAGTCTAAGTGCTGGGCGGGCCCGGGCGCGAATTGATTTCACTGTCTGGCGTTACACGACTGCGACGTGACCTAAGACGCAGGTCACGGAACTATGGGCCCTAAGGCGCGTTGGGTGCGGGCGCACTTGTGAATTTTCAACAGTCAGAAACGTTGCCAGTGGCCAAGGAGACTTTATATTAAACTGTTAGCATAGTTAACAACAACTGAAGGTCACTTCTGCGTTACCAAAGATGTCATATTCTTGTGTACCACATATACCAATGACCCGACGGTAACCTTTACTGGCTAATAGGGCATAAGAAACATACAAATTTTGCCGAAAATTGATGGAACAATATCTGAGTGTTCTAGAGCTGGCTGCTAAAGATGGAAATTCATAATTACCGGTTGAACTTATAAATGGCTATCACTCAATGGTCGGTGAGCGAATCACGAATGGGACGCACTATGACTTCTCCCACACGAAAAGATGTTTGCATCCACAACATTATCGATGCCTTAAAATCTCCAGTTCCTGAGTTTGAATGCAATTTGTCCATCGGGCTACTCCATACCAGGCCGCTAATAACCGTCATATGATTTATTTTAGCGGCATTTCAAGCATATTTGATTATCATCGCCGGGCTCCCCATAACCGCTTTAGGTTTTTATAAGGGCGTGGCCGAGAGCTGCATCGAAAGGTCTTCAATGTGGCTATTTCAGTGCAAAATCCCATACAAATGTGGAACACTCCCTTTAAAAAGCGTGCAGCGCCAGTATCTAATTGTAGCGACGGTGAGCCCCTCGCCGGGTCCTAGCTATTTCGAACGTTGGGTCTGCCGAAGGGCCGGCGCAGAAGCGGCCGGGTGTCCGGCACAGGAGGGGCCGCGTGTTCAGCACTGGAGTGCGTACGTGTCCGGCACTAGGGTGTGTGCACGTCCGACACTCGAGCGTCCGCCTGTAGGACGAGGGAGGGGCCGCGTGTTCAGCACTGGAGTGCGTACGTGTCCGGCGCTAGGGCGTGTGCACGTCCGACACTCGAGCGTCCGCCTGTAGGACGAGGGAGGGGCCGCGTGTTCAGCACTGGAGTGCGTACGTGTCCGGCACTAGGGTGTGTGCACGTCCGACACTCGAGCGTCCGCCTGTAGGACGAGGGAGGGGCCGCGTGTTCAGCACTGGAGTGCGTACGTGTCCGGCGCTAGGGTGTGTGCACGTTCGACACTCGAGCGTCCGCCCGTAGGACGCGGGAGAGGCCGCGTGTCCGAGGCAGGGCTGGGAAGCGCTGGCGCCAGGCTGCAGAGCGCTT